TTTTTTTTTTTGGTACCAGGAATTGAACTCAGGACCTTGCGCTTGCCAGGCAGGCACTGTGCCGCTGAGCTATATCCCCAGCCCCTAATGTACTGATTTTGTACAGCTGTCCTGTAAATATTATTACACAAAAACGAAAGGCATTGCTCTGTGTATTTATGACAGTCCTATTTATCTAAATAGGAAGGAAGCTTTATTTTGCTTTTATTTGTTTTATTTGAATCCATTCCACTGGATGGCAGGCCGCAGGCTGAGTGGAGTCTGGTCTTCCCGAGTTGCCTTCCTCAGCGACTGGCTTCCCTGCCCCCCAAGTGAGTGACCCCGGGGTCTCGGAACCATTGTCTCTGGAGCACCATCGGGGAGCCAAGATCCACTCACCTGGCTTTACTGTACCCTCAACCCCTACCTGAAGCTACTGTTACCTCTTGCTTGGAAACCATATCAACTCCTGACTGGTGAGAATTCTTAAGGGACCGTGACTTACACAGGCATTTGTGGTACAAATTCATGGAGTCCTTGGCCATCAGAAGAAGAAGTTGTAACTTGGGCTTAAACATACAAGAAATTCCTCAGCTTCTAAGTACCTATTACTGGGGGCCGGGGATGTAGCTCAGCACCACAGCGCCTGCCTGGCAAGTGCAAGGTCCTGAGTTCGATTCCCAGTTCCAAAAACAAACAAATAAATACATACAGACATACATACCTGTTGTTAGGTCTGGGTGAGAATTCACAGGACTGTCTTCTGGAACCGAAAAACGCAGCTGAGCTGTGAATGACTGTCTCAGTTGGTCTCTGCTGCTATAACAAAATACCATAGGTCAAATAACTTATAAATAATACAGATTTACTTCTTTACTTCCAGGTCCTGGGAAGTTTGCAGATGAAGCCGCAGCAGATTCGGGAGGGCTTCCTCTCTGCCTTCTTGCTTCATCTTCCCAAAGGGACAAACACTATGTCCTCCCCTGGCAAAAGAGGGAGAGACACCCTCTCTTAAGCCTGTTGTAAGGCCACTGATCCCATGCATCAGGGCCTGGTCACCTCCCAAACACTCCCCTCTTGAGACCGTTACCTTGGGAGTTAAATTACAAGGTGGGAATTTGGGCGTTACATACATTCAAAATGTAGCAGTGATCCCAGTTTGTCCTAAACATGGGACTTTCAGTATTAAGTCAGACAAATTATCCAGGCATGATGTTTGTTTGTTTGTTTGTTTGTTTTTCTTCTGGTACCAGGAATTCAACTCATGACCTTGTGCTTGCCAGGCAGGCACTTTACCTCTGAGCTAAATCTCCAGCCCCTATCCAGGCATCATGGCACATACCTGTTATCCCAGCACTTGGGAGGCTGAGGCAGGATTATCTAGAGTTCGAGGCCAGCCTGGGCTACATGGCAGGACCCTGTCTCAAACAAAACAAAACAAAACAAAAGTCAGACAAATCCAGGGCAAACTGGGAAGAATTGGTTAACCTACTTCAGTAAGGATTTGATATTTCATACTTTCAGCATCTTAATGACATTTAAAATATGAAAACAGGGTGCATTTTTTATACCTTTGTCACTAAGACACTATTGTTTTTCGCATTTTATTTTATTATTTTACTTACTTTTGGTTTTTTGAGACAGGATCTATCTAGACAGTTCAGGCTGGTCTTGAACTCACTATGTAACCTAACTTATACTGATCAGCCTCAGCCTATTGTGTGCCAGGATTATCAGTGTGTGCCACCATGCCTGGCTAAATTCTTTTATCATTTTTAATTTTTTTTCCGGTACCAGGAATTGAACTCATGACCTCACACTTGCCAGGCAGGTGCTGTGCCACTGAGCTAAATCCCCAGCCCCTGTTTTTTCTCTTTTCTTTTCTTTTATTTTTAGACAGGGTCTCATGAAGTTGTTAAATCGCACAGGCTGGGTTCAAACTTTTTATCCTTCTGCCTCAGCCTCTCAGAGTGTTGGGATTACAGAAGTGTGCCACCACACCCAGCTATGGGTAGCTTTTAATGGTCAGGTATTTTATTGCCAATAAAAAGA